TGGGGTGGGCGGCTGTTTGGCACCAGTGGGTTCATGCCCACATATTAACAGCCCCACGTGGAATAGTGATGAGTCTCAAGCTCTGTGTCTCACTCTTCAAAATTACTGAGGACTGCCCTGGCCTGTATGGCTCAGTTGGTTGGGTGTCATCCCTTCCACCCAAAAGGTTGCTGGCTCTATTCCAGTCAGGGCACATGCCCAGGTTGCCAGCTTGATCCTCAGTAGGTGGTGTGCAGGATCGATCAATGTCTCTCCTCCCTTCCTCTCTCTCTAAAAATCAATAAAAAAATCTTTTAAAAATTAGGACCCTAAAGAGCTATTATTTATGCGGGGTGCAACTATCTGATATTTACCCATATTAGAAATTAAAACTGATACTTTTTAATTTTATTTTAAAATATATTTTTATTGATTTTGGAGAGGAGGGGAGAGAGAGAGAGAGAGAGAGATAGGAACATCAAGGATGAGAGAATCATTGATCGGCTGCCTCCTGCATGCCCCACCACAGGATTGAGCCCGCAACCCAGGCATTTGCCCTGACTGGGAATCAAACCGTGATCTCGCTAGTTCATAGGTCGACGTTCAACCACTGAGCCACGCCGGCCGGGCAATTGATAATTTTTAAAAGATTTATTAAATTTATTTAAAATCATCATTAAGGAACCCATCACATGTTAACATTTTTGTGAAAAATAGCTACTTTCTGAAACAAAGTTTCCAGATGTTGAGTGGCCTTGTTTACATTTTTGAGAATCTCCTTAGTGTCTGCCTCTATGGCGACAGCAGCTGGGCTCTCCTGCCGGCCTCTGCCTTGTGCTGCTTTGGTGGGTGCAGAGGAGCCCCCGCTGCTTTTGCACTTTTGATATGTGTGCCAAACAGTGAGAAGTCTCCTTCAGCGTAGCCTAAGGGGTCTGAGGATCCCTGTGAGGTCTGCTGGCATAGGGGTGCTGGTTCTGTGAGGGGGGAGGAGGTGATGGGACCGCGGGACAGCAGGCCACGCCTCACCCACGTGTGCCACGCCCACCCACGGGAGGGTCCTGGGAGACAGCAGGCCATCCTGGCTCCATTCTCAGTGAAGGAATAGCAGCAGGATCAGGCTCATGACTGTCCTCACTCTCAGCCTTTTCTTTCTGGCCAATTCAAAAACAGTTGCAATTCAGAAGGTGAATAGGCAGATTTCACAGATTTCACCTGTGATCCCATGACCACCCTTACGCCTCTCCTCTGAGTTACCATAAAGGTGTCACTTGTGTCCTGGGCCCCAGGCCTGTTCCCGGGGGAAGGAAATGGGTGCTGGTGTTTTGAACTGGATAAGCAAAACTGAAATGATTAATGGCCAGTTACAGTTGATCCTGACAGGGAAAACCAAGGAGAGAAAACAAGAGGTGCCCTGAGGGACAGGTGACGAGTGCTCCAGTGCCGGGCCAGCCGGGGGAGTGCTGACTGTAACATCGGGGGGGAGAAGGGGCCTCCAACTTCTCTACTCGATACCCAAAGATGGTACACCCACACCTAACAGGAGGGACATGGTTTGAATTCCTGCCCCTCGCCGCTCTCGCCCTGCACACCATCCATACTTTAACTCTGTCTAGGGCAGTGGTTCTCAACCTTCTGGCCCCTTAAATACGGTTCCTCATGTTGTCACCCAACCATAAAATTATTTTCGTTGCTACTTCATAACTGTCATGTTGCTACTGTTATGAATCGTAATGTAAATATCTGATATGCAGGATGGTCTTAGGCAACCCTTGTGAAAGGGTCGTGCAACCGCCAAAGGGGTCGCGACCCACAGGTTGAGAACCGCTGGTCTAGGGCTCTACTGGCACCTGTGGATGCCCTGACAGGTGCCACGCTAGCTTTCAGGCAGCTCATGGGCTGGAGCGGGGCAGCTGGAGGGGAGAGTTACTTCAGCCAGAACTTGGTGATCAAGAAATCGATTCTGCCCTAGCTAGTTTGGCTCAGTGGATAGAGCGTTGGCCTATGGACTGAAGGGTCCCGGGTTCGATTCTGGTCAAGTGCATATGCCTGGGTTGTGGGCTCAATCCCCAGTAGGGGGCGTGCAGGAGGCAGCCGATCAATGATTCTCTCATTGATTTTTCTGTCTCTCCCTCTCCCTTACTCTCTGACATCAACAAAAATATATTTTAAAAGAGAAAAAGAAATGGATTCTAAGAGGAGTTGAGATATAGGGTTTGTCTACAGGTAAAGTTAGCAGTTATATTTTATTTTCCGTACCTAAGAGCCTGTTTTTACTTTTGTGTTTACTTGGCACTTTCCTGAATTCTGAAATAGAGGTCAGCAGGATTCCTTTGTTACAGACAGAACCCAAGGCTTCCTAATGGAATTGGCTCAACCCCGACATCCCTGGAATCAGGGCGCCTCCCTTCTGGACCTGCACGGACACCCTTGTTTACCAAGAGCCCTGCAGGCTCCTCAGCTCCAGCAGGAGAGGGAGGGTGCTCCTAGGCCCCCCATCAGGTCTAGCCTCTCTCTGAGCTCCTCTGGGTCTTGGCAGCCAGAATGTTCCTCCATCCACAAGGTGATGAGGGCCTGGAAACTTTTGTTCCATTGAACTTTGCCAGGGAGCTATACTTAGCTATCAAGTGGAAGCCAAGAGTGGGTTCTCTGAGTATAGATAGTAACAAGTGGGCTATTTTCAGAGAACCCCCAAATATCCAGGGCCAACATGGTATTTATAGAGCCCTTCGGGGTCTGGAAGGGAAGGCATAAGCTTAGCGTGGCTATAGTTTCAAGAGGGGTTTCTTTCAACAGGGAGTGGGGTGAGGGACCCAGCTACTGAGGCTGGGTGTCCCCCTCACAGCTGTTGGCAGGGCTGGAGCTCAGGCGGCAGGCACTCGTGTCTGTGAGTCAGGGAAGAGGAGGCCTGCGGTGCCCAGTCATTTTCTCCTGTGCACTGTGGTGTCACCCTGTCCACCTGTCACGTGCCACCTGGGAGCACTTTTCTTGCTGTGAAGCCGCTGTCCCAACTTGGAGAGCACATTACCTGGTTTTCTCTTGTCTAGAATCCTCTTGATTTCTTAGAAGCCTGCTTTGCTCAGATTTAACCAGGCTGCTGTCACAGCACCTGCTTCCCACACCATAGGTCCCAGGTCCCACCTTGGAGAGAGGCTCCAACCACATGCTGGGATAGTGTGATCAGAAGGCTTTCTTTAGGGAGAAGACGGAGTGTGATGAGTAAATACTTGAGTAGGAGGGGGCCACATAGCAGTCCCCCGAGAAGAAAGTTGGCCATGCCAACATCACCTGGGAATGAGCGTGAACAAGCCTGAGACCTTTTTCTTTCTTTTTTCTTCATATATATTTATGTGTATATGTATATATGTATATATATGTATATATGTGTATATATATTTAATAAATCTTTATTGTTCAGATTACAGTTGTTCCTCTTTTTTCCCCCATCGCTCCCTTCCACCCAGTTCCCACCCCACCTCATGCCCTTACCCACCCACTGTCCTCGTCCATAGGTGTACGATTTTTGTCCAGTCTCTTCCCTCACCCCAACACCCCCTTCCCCCCGAGAATTGTCAGTCCACTCCCTTTCTATGCCCCTGATTCTATTATATTCACCAGTTTATTCTGTTCATCAGATTTTTTATTCACTTGATTTTTAGATTCACTTGTTGATAGATATGTATTTTTTTAAAATATATTTTATTGATTTTCTTACAGAGAGGAAGGGAGAGGGATAGAGAGTTAGAAACATCGATGAGAGAGAAGCATCGATCAGCTGCCTCCTGCACACCCCCTATTGGGGATGTGCCTGCAACCAAGGTACATGCCCTTGACCAGAATCGAACCTGTGACCCTTCAGTCCCCAGGCCGATGCTCTATCCAGTGAGCCAAACCAGCTAGGGCGATAGATATGTATTTGTTGTCACTTTGTTGTTCATAATTTTTATCTTTACCTTTTTCTTCTTCTTCCTCTTCTTAAAGAATACCCTTCAGCATTTCATATAATGCTGGTTTGGTGGTGATGAACTTCTTTAGCTTTTCCTTATCTGTGAAGCTCTTTATCTGACCTTCAATTCTGAATGATAGCTTTGCTGGGTAGAGTAATCTTGGTTGTAGTTTTTTGCTATTCATCACTTTGAATATTTCTTGCCACTCCCTCTGGCCTGCATGATTTCTGTTGAGAAATCAGCTGACAGTCGTATGGGTACTCCCTTGTAGGTAACTGACTGTTTTTCTTTTGCTGCTTTTAAGATTCTCTCTTTGTCTTTTGCTCTTGGCATTTTAATTATGATGTGTCTTGGTGTGGTTCTCTTTGGATTCCTTTTGTTTGGGGTTCTCTGCGCTTCCTGGACTTGTAAGTCTATTTCTTTCACCAGGTAGGGGAAGTTTTCTGTCATTATTTCTTCAAATAGGTTTTCAATATCTTGCTCTCTCTCTTCTTCTGGCACCCCTATAATTCGGATGTTGGTATGCTTGAAGCTGTCCCAGAGGCTCCTTACACTATCTTCATATTTTTGGATTCTTTTTTCTTTTTGCTTTTCTGGTTGGGTGTTTTTTGCTTCTTTGTATTTCAACTCTTTGACTTGATTCTTGGGGTCCTCTAGTCTGCTATTAGATCTCTGTATATTATTCTTTATTTCAATCAGTGTATGCTTAATTTCTAATTGGTCCTTTTTCATATCCTTGAGGGTCTCACTAAATTTCTCAGAGGTTTTTAGAAGATTCTTGAGTAACCTTATAACCATGGTTTTGAACTCTATATCCAGTAGTTTGCTTTCCTCCATTTATTTCGTTTGTGACATGTTTCTTTGTCTCTGCATTTTGGCTGCTTCCCTGTGTTGATAGAGTGGCTTTCTGTGCTAGGTGTCCTATAGGGCCCAGTGGCTCAGCCTCCCTAATTACCTGAGGTGGACACTCTTGGCGCACCCCTTTGTGGGCTGTGTGCACAGTCTTGTTGTAGTTAAGTCTTGATTGCTGATGGTATCACGGGGAGGAATTGACCTCCAGGCAAATTGGCTATGAGGACCAGCTGTGTCTACAATGGGAGAACTGCTGTGCTGGAGACACCCTTATGGAGCAGGACTTGCTTCAGTGGGGCTTTGGTGCTCACTGAGTCTGCCCCTTGAGTGTGTCGCTTATGGATGTGAAGACTGAGACCCTGTTCTGATTCTCATTCTATAGGTGTGGAGAGGGGGCTCTGGAAACCCAAATGTTAAATGGGCTTCTGAACTAATCCTAACGATCAGGGGAGAGGGCAGGGTGGAAGCTGTGAGCCCCAAGGTTGCCGCAGGCAGCATGGCCGGTGGGAGACGTGGTGGCCTCGAGGTATGACTGTAGCCATGTAGCTTTGAGTGGGACGTCCCCCCATTCATTCCATGTCAGTTTCCTGGCAGGTGCCCGGGCCTTTCCTCACCCCTCTGCCAACCGGTGCTCCACTGCCCTGCCCTACACCAGTCCAGATATAAATATAAGAGCATTTTCCATGGGCCGGCACAGAGGGCAACATTCAACTTTATTTTAGGCCTGTGAAATTCCCTCCCTTCATACCCAACAGGTGCATCGCCTCATTTAGATATTGGAGCCCAGAAATAGAACACAATTTACAATATAGCTTCCTTCAGGCATCTGGATGCTATTTTTTTAAAAGCCTCCTGTGAGCTGGCCAGGCACAGCACAAACACTGGCTGGAACTTTCACCTTTGCCAGGCTTGGGGAGAGGCAGAAGGGACAGGCGCCTCAAGAGACATTTTGGGGGTAGGATCATCCTGTTGGGACACAGGCCTGTTCTCAGCCCTACAGGGCCACCTGACAGGATGGTGAAGAGGAGGAGGAGGACAGACACAGACACTAGAGAGGGGCCAGATACTGAGCAGGGGGACACAAACCTTCAGAGGAGGTGTTTCTAGTAACCCTGGCAGTAAGAGTCCCCCTGCCCCTCGGTTTTTTGTGGACTGGAGGAGATTAGGATTCGGCTCTCCTTGCCTTAAGCCCAAGCACAGGACCCCCCTGGCATCTCTTGGCAAACCATGTGTTATCAGCTGCTGGGGTATGAATGGTGTCCCCTCAATTTATATGTTGAGATCTTAACCCGCAGTACCTCAGAATGTGGAAATAAGGTCATTGCAGATGTAGTCAAGATGAGGCCATTTCATGGTGGATCCTAACCCAATATGTCTGGTTTTCTTATAAAAAGAGGAAATTTGGACACAGACGGACGCAGGCAGGGAGAACACCATGTGAAGATGGAGGGAGAGATGGGGTGATGCTCTACAAACCAAGGAACATCAAAGATTGTCAGCAGATCAGCAGGCCTGGGAGAGGCCTGGACGTCTCCTCAGCGCCAGAAGGAACCAGCTCTGCTGACACCCTGACTCAGACTGCTGGCCTCCAGGACTGTGGGAACATGAATTTCTGTTGTTTAAGCTGCCCAGCATGTGGGACTTCCTTACAGCAGCCACAGCGAACGGATGCATGAGCTAAATGGGACATTCCCAGGCTCAGAAACATCTTCAGTCCAGTGGCTGAGACAGTCTGGTGTGGGCCAGGTAGGGGCTCCCCTGGGTGGTCTGCTTCATCAAGGTCACCGTGGTCCAAAGAACCCCAAGACCAAGGTCAAGTTTCCTCTGGGATGACCCAAGACCCCTCCAACGGCCATCATCAAACCAACCATCCAGGGTTCTTCACCCCTGAGGAGCACCAGGTGGAACCTGTGGTGGGGGCCATCAGGGCTGGGACTGCGGCAGAGGCGGCTGCAGAGTAAGATACTTGGCACCCAGTGTGGTCCTGGAAAAGCTCCTGAATGCTGTCCACGCAGAGGAGGCTCAGCAGGTCTGGTGGCTCCGGGCTGAGAGGGGGGCCTCTGCACGTGCCGTGTGGCTCCATTCCGGGCCCAGGACCAAGGGCCCAGCTCTCCCTTGGCTGGGGCAGCGGGCTGTCCTTCCTGCAGAGAGGAGCAGGTGTGCCTCCCAGCAGCAAGGGCTCAGTCCGTGTCCCTGACTCTCAGGCCTCCTTCTTCGGTCCTGGGTGCCGCCTTCCCTCCAGGTCCTGCTGGAGATGGTTAAGACACGCTGGCAGGAGGCAGGACCAGACCAACAGGTGACCACCCGGAGGCCTGGGGGTGAGAGGAGTCCACCTGTGAGAAGGCAATGACGCCGCCATGCTGGGGCAGTGGGGGCAGGACACTGGGCGGGGAGAGGAGGTTCTTATGTGTGGGCATCTGAGTCGGTTTGGGAAGGTTTGTGTGTCCAGGGCGGGGTCAAAGGTCTGGGCCACTCACTCAGGTCACAGATGCCTGCAGCCTCAAGAGAGGGTGTGCAGAACAAAGGTGACAGTAGTGAGCAGGCGTGGAGACACGGCCCTGGGTGAGGTGGCACAGTGGAGACATCCTTGTGGTGACCGCGGAGAGGTGTGCACATACAGCGAGGTTCTCTCTCCTAACTTAGACCATGCGGGAAATGGCGCCCAGCCATGCCGCGCTCACAGCCCACCCCGCCCTTTCTTCTGGCCTCCGTTTCCTCACACTTCGCTTGCAAGCCCTCACTCATCCCCAGCCCGAGCTCATGCCCCTCAGTCATTCCACAGTTTGATACTGTTCCATCACTCGCCTCTTTCTTCCAGAAGACACCGCTGTTCACCTGGACCCTGCCTTCTGCAGCCTCACTCCCCATCCCGAAACAACATCACAGCTCGATGCCCTGATCCCTATTCTCCTCCTCTGTGGCCAGGGATCCGGCTGCCTCTGGATAACTTCTCAGAACTCAGGCTCCTCCACAGACGCGGGGGACCGGGAACACGCAGAACCTCAGAGGACATAACAGGCCTGAGCACATGGACTCTTTATTGCCCCACGATGTGGATGGGGGCCTAGCTGCCTGTCCCCCTGGTGCTGCTCCACCTTAGGGACAGCCTAGTGAGATGGGGAGGGTGCGTGGCCCAGATCCCAAGCCAAAGGCAGAGGGAGGTGAGCCTTGAGGTAGCTCTGCCCATGCAGGCTGGACTGTGCATGCGCTCGCACAAGTCAGACTGTTCACGTGGAGCTGCGGAGAGATCCAAAGGCAGCTCCATTCGTCGTCTTAATGGCAGGCATGGTCCATGCTGGCGACAGTCCCCCAGCAGTCTTTCACTCTTAGAGAAACAGAAGCTGAAACCAGGGCAGGTGGAAAACAAAACAGAGGTTCTTGTTTTGTTGAAAGTCGTCCCCTCTGAGTGGGCAGAGTGGGGCAGGAGACCTCCACGGGCCCTCGCTCGTCCTGACGGCCCGCTGGGCTGCTCTGGTTCCGAACAGATGCAGGTGGTGGGCAGGGGACGCGCCTGAGAGTGGGAGGCTGAGCTCCTGCCCTCCCGGTCTGCCTAGCTCCTCTGAGCACACCAGGCAGCACGAGGCTGCCAAGAGGGTCGCCAGCCATGGTGTCTCTGGGGTGAGGTCTTGTCCCTCCGACAGCACCAAACCCATGCCTCTCAGGGACCGGGGCAGCAGCCAGACTCCTCATGCCTCACCAAGAGCGACATGCGGGAGAAGGTCTTGGCGCAGCTCTTGCACTGGTATTTCTTGGTGTCAGAGTGTGTCTGCAGGTGCGCCCGGAGATTTGAGCGGTCGGCAAAGGCCCTGCTGCAGTGAGAGCAGGCATAAGGCTTCTCACCTGGGGGAGGGAAAGGGGAAGGCAGGTGAGTGACTATCTGGGGTGTCCTGGGAAGACACCCCAGGGTTCCAGTGCCTCTGTTTATAAATGAGTAACTCCAAATGCTTACTCAATTCCAATTCATTTATCTTTAGGGCATAGTGAAAGGAGCCTTAGCCCTGACCCAGGAGGAGACACTAAGGCCAAGAGGCCACACAGCCTAAGGCTGGGGCTGCTGGAGGTTGGGCGGAACGATACACCTAACCCTTCCGAAGAGCCAAGGTCCACACTGCTCTTCGCTCATCTCCCGCAGCTGCTAGATCTTTCTGTTTCTGTCAGAGCTCTCCTGGGGCCTGTGCCACCCAGATCTGGACGTGAGAAGCACGGCACCTTCTGGCAGCTGTGCCACCCACTGAAAGCCAGTGGTGGAGACCAACGAGGCTGCCGCAGAAGGCGGGCTGGAAGGAGTAAGCCCTCCTGCACAGGAGGCAGGCATTTAGGAAGGGCTAAAATCCTGTATCCTCCAGGCCTACTGTTGGAACCTTGGCCCCTGGGATGATTCTGAAAAGTGTAAAAGGAAGGGTCGTTGAGAGTCACCTCCTCTCTGCTCGTGAAGAGCAGCTTCCAGTCCTGCAGCCCTACAGAGTCCTGAGCGCCACCAGCCTGCAGTCCCCCCTGCCCGACACCCGGGCACACTCCCAGCCAGCCAGCCTCCGGCGGGGACTCCCACCCTCCTGGCTCCCAGAACAAAAGCACCGAGCCTCTGAGATGTGTGCCATCCTCAGCGAAGGGTCAAGGAAAATGGCTCCTTTCCAGCCTCCACCCCGGTGTGACTCAGAAGATTCTAGTTATGGGGCCGTGACTTAGGATTAGGGAGGCTCCGGTTACAGAAAGTGCGTTGCAACTGGGGGTCTGCGATGAGGACCAAAGACTTATTCTGGGAGCTCTGTCTCTGTTCCTGTCACCCACTCTGCACGGTGTGCCTGACAGTCTCGGCTCAGGCGAAGCTGCAGGCCGCGGTCCACCTCAGCCACTGGCTGCCCCTGTACAGAGCAGGCCCCTCCCGCTCGTTCTGGGCAGTGTATTGTAATCTACGGCATGAAAAGCTGAGGCTCTTAGGTCGCCTTCCGCTCCTGCCCATGTCCTTTCCTTCCTGCTTCTGTCTTTGTCTTATCTCCACAACTGCCCTTCTCTCCTCCATTTCCTATGGGCTCCTGGCCACCCTCTCACCCATGGACAGGTTTGCTCCAGCTCCCCAAATTCCAAGTGAAGTCCCAGCTGTCGTCTCTGCCCTTCAGATAGATAGGCTGTGATGCCCAGGTTCTTACTCCCAGCCCAAGCCTTTCTGGCTCCCTTCTCCTCCTGTTCCAGAATTCTAGAAGGCCATGGAATGTAAGAAATCAGGTCCTGCTGAAGGCCGTGCATTCTACGCTTTGCTGGGCGTTATGGGTTGAATTGTGTCCTCCAAAAAGGAGTCGTCCCCGTCCTAAACCGGTATTTGGACATAGGGGCTTTGCCGATGCCATCAGGTTAAGATGGGGTCACATTGCAGTTTGTGGGCCCTGATTCAATGTGACTGGTGCCCTTATGACAAGAGGGAGATTTGGACACAGACGCACCGGGAGGAGAGGCCACGTGAGGTCGGAAGAGGAGTTGGAGTGATGTGGCCACAGCCAAGATCTGCCTGGAGCCCCAGGATCTGGAAGAGGCAGGAAGGGCTCTCCTCTAGAGCCTTTGGAGGGAGGCAACCCTGGAACACCTGGGCTTTGGGCTTCTGGCCTCCGGACAGCGGGAGGGGGCGTTGCTGATGTCTTGAGGCCCCTCCCCCAAGATTGTGGGACTTTGTTCTGCAGCCCCAAGACACAAATCCACAGGAGAGCCAAAGCTGTGAGAATGTCTGTCTTCTTGGCCATAAAATTGCCCCACTCCTCTTTCTAACCTCCAGATCCCACTCCCGCCCCACCCAGACCCCTCTGTGGACCCGTCGCTGTCCTACCTGTGTGGGTCCGGATGTGGCCCTGGAGCAGCCAGGGCCTGGAGAAGGCCTTGCCACAGATGGCGCAAATGCAGGGCAGTGTGTGTGTGCGGATGTGCATTTTGAGGGCCCCCAGGCTGGAGTACTCCTTGTCACAATACTTGCAGGTGAAGCAGCGCTGAGCCTGCAGGTGGCAGTGCAGCTGCCGGTGCCTGGCCAACCCAGCCAGTGTGTGGTAGAGCTTGTGGCAATGGATGCACTGGAAGCCACCTGGGGCACAGGGGGCCTGCTCAGCCCCCAGCAGTCTATCTGGAGGCTGGTCCCCTTCTGGGCCTAGAATTGGGGGCCACCGTGTGGGCAGAACCAGCAGTGGGGGCAGATTGAGGTGGCTCAGGCTGTCTTTGAGGGGTACGCTGGGAGCCCGGCCAGCACAAGGGTCCATCAGGCTGACTTCCAAGGGATCTGGCTCAGAGGTCCCCCGAGCTTCTGGGAGGGGCAGGGAGATGCAGGTGACGACAGAGGTGTGGTCCCAGGGCTGGGCAGGGTCAGCAGAAATGGGAGGGGCCGCCCTGTCTGGGAGAAGGAGGGGCACCATCAGCCCCCCACAGGCAGAACAGGAGCCATTGATTTCTAGAAGGGCAGAAAGAGAGAGAATGGAAAGGTGAAGACTCAGTCCCAAAGTGTTGTGTTCTCTTCCATCTTGGGTCTAATTTTAAGCCTACCTTCTAAGCCAAGCATGTCAAACTCAAAGGCTAACATGGGCCAAATAAACGAGGCATGTGGCCCATGGGCTATGAGTTTGACATGCTTGCTCTAGGCCAGCCGTGGGCAAACTACGGCCCGCAGGGTGGATCCGGCCCGTTTGAAATGAATAAAACTATTGAAAAAAAGAGACCGTACCCTTTTATGTAATGATGTTTACTTTGAATTTATATTAGTTCACACAAACACTCCATCCATGCTTTTGTTCCGGCCCTCCGGTCCAGTTTAAGAACCCATTGTGGCCCTCGAGTCAAAAAGTTTGCCCACCCCTGCTCTAGGCTCTCAGAAACTTGGCATGAAGGGAAAGGCCTGAAAGATGGAGGGGTCAGCTGGGGAAGTGACGATGGCCCAGGAGTCTAGAGGAGGAATCTGTTTCTCTTTAAGAACAAAAATAAAGAAATATCTTACAGCAGCGGTTCTCAAACTGAGGGTCATGACCCCTTTGGCGGTAGAAGGACCCTTTCACAGGGATGGCCTAAGACCATCCTGCATACCAGATATTTACATTACGATTTATAACAGTAACAACATTATGAAGTAGTTATGAAGTAGCCAAGAAGATAATTTTATGGTTGGGTCACAACATGAGGAACTGTATTTAAAGGGCCAGAAGGTTGAGAACCACTGCCTTACAGAATCCCAAAACAGCCTTCATGGGGCCAAGGAAGACTCCCTCACTGCCGGGCAGGGTGGATCCTCTCTCTGAGTCCCTTTCCACCTCAGGACCAGCTCACAGTGCATCCCCCAGGCTGCCACGCAGCATTAATTCAGAGCCCTTGGCAGCAGGCCGCCATGTAGACAGTCAGCCTCCGGTCACCTTCTGATTACTCCTCAACACCCTGACAGGGTGCACGCAGCCTCCTGCCACGTCTCCTGGTCCAGAGAAGCTGTCCTCTGACCTCAGCCTGTTGTTCCTGTGTTTGGGGGCCAGCGTGCCCTACTCTTGACCCAGAATGGTGGGCCCCCAAAGTAAACAGGTTAGTTAGTAGGTGAGTGTTACATTCTGCATCTCCCCAAAGCTCAAATCTCTATGTGTTGAAATGAATCCCTGGCCCCGATTGGGAGAGGAGGGGTGGGGGAGCGGAACAGAGAGAGCTAATGGGCTGCCAGGCTGTTCTCGGACAGTCCTTCACTGGGCCTTGCAGAGTTGCCCAGATTTGCCCATTCAAATAGCGAAGGGGGTGCACTGTATGACTGAACTCTACACAATGGTCTTTAAAGTTTTAAAATTATGGCCCATGTAAATTCAAGTTTCCGTCACATATGCCTGAAACAAAACTGTCCTTTATCTGAAGCACCACACTTTGATGGTTTCTATTCTGTTTTATTTTTTTAAATCAAGCCCGGCCGGTTTGAGCATTGACATGTGAACCAGGAGGTCTCGGCTTGATTTCTGGTCAGGACACATGCCTGGGTTGCAGGCTCGATCCCCAGTAGGGGATGTGCATGAGGCAGCCAATCGATGATTCTCTCTCATCATGGATGTTTCTCTCTCCCTCTCCCTTCTTCTCTGAAATCAATAAAAACATATTTAAAAAACAAACCAAAAACCCCTGTCCCGTAGTGTGTATAACAGTAAACACTACCGAATGTAAAAGACTTGCCTGATCTCTGCGATTAGGAAGTTCTTTAAAAGAAAAAAAAAAAATCGCCTGTGGTGACTCTCCTTTGGTTTCAGGACCCCGAAGTGAGGCTCCTGGTCCTGGAAGGCGCCCCCTGGTGGCATCCGTGCCTCGGTACTGGTCAGAGACTCCCCACGCTGGGTTCTGAGAGCTCTAAGGCTCTGAGGTGCCCTGGCCTCCAGTGTCCCCGTTCCCCTCTCCCACTTCCCCTCTGAGTCACCAAGCAGTCTCCCAGGAGGTCTTGCCCCAAGAAGCTGATGAGCTGGGGGAACAGCTGTAACCACTCTGGAGGCCTTTGCCCTGGGACTTCCCCGTACCCCTCTGCCCAGTGGGGAACGGGAATGAGGGTACAGCTCTGGGTCCTGGACTCCCACCTCCCCACCGAGCCTCCCGGGGAGAGGAGGGCAGCCTCTTAGCCCAGCCTGCCCTGGGCAACCTCCACTGGGGTAAGGAGAGGCCGGAGGTAGACCCTCAGGAGGGGTAAGGAGGCACGAGAGGAGCCCTTGGGACGCGGGACGAGCTGGGCCTTGGCACCACCGAGCCCACCCATGGTCACTCTTCCCGGCCCCTGCGGCCACCACCCACGCCAGGATGTTCCCCCGGAGACCTTGGATGGCAGCCCCAGGTGGCCCTCTGAGTCTCCACCATCCCTGGGACCCCCTCCCAAAGCTCCTGCCCCACGGGTTCTCTCATCTGGGATGGGCGCGCCAGCCCATAGAGGGAGAGCCCAGAGTGATTGGGAACCTAGAAACGTCTCTAAGTGGGGAGAGAAGCTCTACTCGCTCCGCTGGACTCGACAACCTACCTCCCTCCAGCCTTGCTGGTGAGCTACCGCCTCTCCTCCTTACCTGGGACAGATGTCACCCGCTCCCGGGGCCTCCCCCTCCTGCCCCGCGGGAGCCTGAGCCCTGCGCAGGGGCTGGGGAGCCCGGCAGCCCCTACCTCTCTGAGTCTCCAGCTCCCCGTAGTTGGGGACCCTGTGGCTGGAGTGCGTTTTCACCAGGAAGGAGCGCGGCATGGTTCCTCGCGGGTGCAGGTCCCGCTTGCGAATCCACAGAAGGCGGGTCCGCGGCGCCGCGGCAGGTGCGGGCAGGGTCAGACTCATTAGCATAGCGCGCCGCCTCGGCCAATCAGCGCGTGGCGCGGCCGGGGCGGGGCGGGGCGGGACCGCGGGACCAGGCTTCGGGGCCACGCCCAGGACAGGTGCGCGGCGTGGGGGCAGGAGCGCGTGGCCGGCGTGTCCTGCCCACGGGACCTCCCTGGCGCGCGCCGCGAGTCACGTCGACCCCTGGGGCCTGACGCACCCACTAGCCGCAGACTAAAGGGCGGAGGTCAGGGCTGGGTGGAAGCCCAGCCGGCTCCATGCACAGGGAGCGGGACCTTGCGTGGAACCCAGCCTGGGAGAACCCTGACTCCAGCCCGTTAACCCACCCCACCTCCTGCTCAAACCCGCAACGGTAAGATTGATAAGCTGAACGCCAACAGCTATAGTGGTGACCAATGGGGTCAGCTGGCCTGGGCGAGCCGGGCCCCTCCCTTTCCAGTGGGCCCCTTCCCCTGGAGACAGTGCTCAAAGAGTTGGCCCCAGGCATCCAGAAAGGACACAGCCTGGAATTCTGGAATTCCAAGGGGTCCAAATATGTGGTTACAGGAAGTTTAATCAAAGAGGGCAAAGCTGTGCACTTTGCAGCAGCCTGTCTGTGCCTCTGGGCAGCATGTTCCTCCTTCCGTGTCCTTTGGAATCCTCAGTGCCACAAAGAGCAGGGTGTCTGGTCCCTTTGGATGTGGACATTTCAAGAGTTCAGGGGTCAGGTGGGGCAGTCTTTGGGCGGTGGACACAGCACCTGGCTGGACCCCTGAGAGCCACAACCCTGTAGCAGGCCTGCCTTCCCAGCAGAGCCTTTTAAGGCCCAGGTGCTGCACCAGAGGAAGTGAGGAAGGACAGTGTGGGCTGGGGAGGGCGTGGTAGTTATGGCAGCGAGCCTGTGAAGAACCCCTGCAGAGACCGTGGGAGGCGGGCTGTGTCACACAGTGCCTCACATTCCCACAGTTTTGCAGATGAGAAAACAGGCTCTGAAAGTCTGGGAAGTGGTTAAATTGGGAACAAGACCCACCCTTTCAGCCTTACTGGAGGCGCGTGTACCCCAGGAGGGCGCGTGGAAGGGCAGGTCCTGCACAGACAGGAGAAGGCGCGAGTCTCTCCTGTGGGCCATGGCCTGGCACCACGCTGCCACACATGTGGCTTTCTGAGGACACGTGACTGCCTTCTGCTTATTCACCTGTTCCTGGGCCTCGAAAGGTTTCTATTTATACCCTCTCTTCCTTCTCTCTCCCTCTCCCAGACGTAGATAAACTAGCAGATACCTGGGCCAGCCTTTTGCCCATACTGTCCTTCCTCACTCAGCCACCCATTGTGTGGCCACTGGCCAAGATGACCTCCTTAATCCCAGGGAGACGCTCTGTTATTTAGGGAAGCTGGGGCACTCCTGTGGAGAATCTGCTGATCTCATCTTGGAAATGCACCAGGGACCCGAGGGTCCTCGGAGCACCTTTGGGTTAAGGGCCGTTGACTCCTTCCCGGGGCCGCCATAACAAAGGGCCTGGAGGGAAGTCTCCAATCCCTACTAACATCTCAGAACTGCCCTCCTTTGTTGGCACAGACTGACTTTTGGCTGTGGGGACCCAAGTGGTACCAACAGAAGAAAACCTCAGCATTTGCCTTCCCTACCCGCGCAGCCCAGGGAGGGGCGTCCCCATCTGGTCTGCTCTGTGTCCTTCTGTCCTCAGAGGGCTTCTGTGCTTGGCAGGGAAGCCTCACATCTCGCCCTACAGTGGGAAATACACTTCTAACCACCCCCTCTCTTACCCAGAGCAGGACTGGCAGGGAACCGAGGTCACCTTTCCTTCGAAAACCACAGCAGTCTCCCATGGGCACCTGGGGATGCCAGCTTCCAAGAGCCAGGCTGCTGCCCCTCCCGTTGCTGTCAGTGTAGGAACCCCACCCCCCCTGAGCCAGGTGGGAGCCAGCCCTTGTTGCTTTGCATCACCCGCATTTGCTCAGGTCCACAGTGAAGGTTCAATAATGCTTGTCGGACTAGACAGAAAGCATCGAGTCCCCAAATAGCATGGCCCCAGACATGCTAGCATGTCCCTGAGGGTTAGGGGTGTGAGCCCGTTTGTGCTCTCTACTGCAGACACATGTGTGAAGGTCCAGGCCAGGGGTGAGCCTGGCACCAGGACTCTTGGAATAGTGCTCAGAACCAGGTCTTGAAGCTGGGGCTCATCTGTCCCAGGCCCTGAGCAGATGGCCCTTGCACTGGGGGCACCAGCCACTGTGACCGTGGCCCCCAGTATCAGTGTGTGGAGCTTTTATGGAGGGAGGGTGGGCATGGAGGGGAAATCCTGACTTGAGGCAACCTCACGGCTACCCAACGTGATGGACACATGGAAACTTGGGCCCAATGCTCCAGCTCCCAACAGCCGGTCAGAGAGGTGGCCAGTGTGTGCTTGGTCACCCCCAGTGAAGGGAAACTCACTACTGCTTACAGCTGCTCATTCCATTGGGACATGATTGTTAGAGGTGATACTGGTTCTTAAATAGAGGTTCCGTGGACATATCCCATATGATACTGGGTATGAGAGGGAACATTGTCCCTCCACACACTGCTCAGAAGGCAGGCAATGGAGGCCTAGACACCGTAGGGCTTGTGATGTTGGATGATGAAGAGGGTCCTGGGGGCTGGGGCAGGAAAGGTGAGAACTGAGTGGTGACTGGACAGGAACACGCTGTGTGCACATGTGTCAGTATGTGTGCATGCTGGTATGTGCACGTATGCAGACCTGCCTCCTGTACAGGCACACATACAATATTTTGTATACGTGTGTACATGTGTGAGATTGCAGGAACTGTTCTCATGTGATACAGAGGTCGGGCATCAGCAGATGAGCCCTGGCCTTGAATGGAGGGGTCTGTTGGGTCCACAGCTCAGTTCCCAGCTCCTCACCCCACTGAATCCTCTCTGCAATCTTCCCCAGCAGGTTATCATAAAGACTCACAGGCCATGTGTTGGGTGGCTCTCTCTCATAGTGATGGACTGGACAGGACAATCCCATTTGCTGATCCTCCCTCAGTGAAGTGTCTGAACCTCGGCACACATGGTCTCGAGTTCACTCAGTCAGTGTGCTGTGCTTCTCTCGCTCACCCAGCCACCAGGACACAGAGAGCAGCAAGGCCTGTCCTGTCCTCGAGGGTTGCTGGAGAGGCGTCTTGGCTGGCTCTAACCTCCCCAGCAGCTTCCAGCCAAGGAGCTCAGCCCTGCCAGCCAGAGCATGTCGAGGACCCCAGAATGCACCTCCAGAGCCTGGGGATCCTGTCAACACTCGGCCAGGCCTAGGGCAGGCTCTCTAGAAGCCACTGACTGCAGGATCCGACATGCTGGCCACCACGTTCAGCAGAGCCCAGCGGCTCTGTCCCCGGGCTGGGTCAGGGCACCAAGCTGGAGCTCACGCCCAGTTCTTCCCCACTTTCCCTACTCAGTGTGTGCTGACAATGAACTGACAGACTTCATTAGGAGTTGAAGCATTTGTCCCCAAAACATGTTGGAGTACCAACCCCAGCACCCGTGGCTGTGGTCTTATTTGGATATGGGGTCTTTGTGAGTGTATTCAAGATGAGGTCATCAGGGCGGCCCCAGTGTGATGACCTGTGTTCTGATAAAAGGGAAATGGGCAGATGGCGAGGGCACAGGGAGGATGCCACGTGAAGCCGACAGCTCAGTGATGCCCCTGTGAGCCAAGGCTCCTGGAGGCTGCTGGAGCTGGAGAGCTGAGAGCAGGAACAGAATGGGTGCTCAGTGGATAGAGCGTTGGCTTGCGGACTGAAGGGTCCCGGGTTCGATTCTGGTCAGGGGCATGTACCTGGGTTGCGGGCACATCCCCAGTGGGAGATGTGAAGGAGGCAGCTGATCGATGTTCCTCTCTCATCGACGTTTCTAATTCTCTATCTCTCTCCCTTCCTCTCTGTAAAAAATCAATAAAATATATTTTTTTAAAAAAGAATGGGTGCTCCCCCTCAGCCCTCAGAAGGAACCAGCCCTGCGGACACCTGGACCTCTGGCCTCCTGAGCAATGGGAGGTCCGTTCCCATGGTGGAAGCCCAGTTGTGGTTTGTGTTACAGCCGCCTCAGGACACTCACCCAGACAGCAGCCTTGCTCTCTGCGATTTGCAATTTGCTACGAGAACCTAATCAAGTAGAACAAACCACAGCGCCACAAACCCATGCACCAAATGTCTCAGAGTTTCTGGAAAAATACCACATGGATGCTGTTCGCACTTCCCAGCGGCCTGTCCGTGAGCCCACCCACCCTTCCTCTCCAGGTGCTTCCACAGGTTTGATAGCAGACTCCTGCGGGTCGCGCAGGTCCACGAAACAGCCTGCCAGCTCCTGCCTCCCGCTCCTCAGTTGGAGAGGAGCCCACACCAGGCAGGGCCCAGCAGCTGGCCGAACCTGAGGCTGTGAGGGCTGCACTCAGAGGAAATGCCTGTTTCAGCCCACCTTGTTCCCACCCGGTCGCCTGTCCTTCTCCTTGGCTGAGACTCAGGCTCTGGCTGGGAGGCCAGCCTCCCCTCCTTGCTTCTGAGGCTGATTGTGCAAGGGCACCTGGGACCCCCTCAGCCCTGGAGTGTAAGGCCCTGCCCCGTGAACCGGCTGACTGCAGCTGTGTCATGATACAGAGCCCTCCCTGCACCAGACCCTGGGTGGGGCAGAGGTTCTCAGGACTTGTCAAGATACACTAGTAGGAAGAGTCCATGTCAGGCCCTTTGCCTCTGTGACAGGTTCTCAGAATCTCTTCACTCAGGAAACGGGAACAATGACTTCCGCCTGTCACCCCTGGGGTGTGTGAACCTAAATCAAGATGGCCCCCAAGGGATTGGGGAGGGTACAGCTCTGGTGGCAGGTGTGCTGGGCCCCTGATGATGAGATGAAGCAGGTAGCCCCGCTTGTTAGTTCTTTGGTGCCAGGCCTCTGTATACACTTGTATTTCATGAAAAGACTGGCCTGGAATCCCACAACCCAGGCTGAGCCAAGCCCACCAGGAGCTGCTCCGCAGTGGGCCTGTGTGGCTGTGCCCAGCCATACCCTCTATGTCCGCTCTGCTGCCCGTCAGTGCCCAGAGCTGGTGGCCAGACCTCAGGAGCCCCGGGCTAGTGATGGGAGCCCAGCCTGGGCCATGGGCTCCGTGCTCTGGGTGTCCTGCCTTTGGCGGCTGGTTGCCTGTCCCCCTCCTAGCAGGGAACCCAGAGGCTCTTTCTAGGCAGCAGGGTGTGCCTAACATGAAAGGCAGGGGCTGACACCTCCCGCCGGGGACACTCCAGGGCATAGGCATAAGGGGGCCCTGACCGTAAGGACTGTTTCGCTTTGTGCTGAAGAGAAGAGCTGCCGGGATTGTCAGGGTGGAGGAGACAAAGCAATGGGAGCCTGAATCTGAGGCCACACGCTGGGCGGCAGGAAACCTGGGATGCGGCTGTGTGGGGGCTCTGGCTCTGGCTGCCTGTGGATTTGTGGTGAGACCTGAGGAAGGCCCTGAGGGGCTGGCCTGGGTGTGTGGCTTTCATCACAGCTGTGGTCTGAGCCCCCCCTTCTCGTTGGGAGGCCCCACTGCATGGGTTTTAGACATTTGGCTCCACCTCAGATTTTAGCCAAAGTAAGAGGAGGCTGCTGGTGCAACAGCTTCGACCTGAGGTGTCCCCCACTTCCCTCTGCGAGTCTGCTGATCCAGGTCACGTGTCCACAACCACATGGGGTTCACATTAATGCCCCTCCCTGGGCAGACGATCCCGTTTTGGAGCAGTGGTGTGGCCCATGTGTCCCCGTGTGTTTCATGGACCCCATGGGCCCTGTGTGCCCCGAGGGGCTGTATGGCCCCATCACCCAGCCATCTCCCCAACGGCAGGCAAGGGCATGGTGAGATCAGAACCTGCTGAGATGGTGGCCAGATCTCAGGAGCCCTTGAGGCCACCCCAGGCACACAGACGCAGGCCCCGGGCTGGGGAATGTGGCCTGGTCTGTGCCTGGTGGGCCAGTCGTCAGGGTTGGGCAAGAGGGCTTCACTGGGGTCTCTGGCCTCCTGCAGGAGGGACCTCAGCTGCTTCGACACCTTCCTTTCCTGTCGGCCCTGGGGAAGCTGAGGTTGGATCCAGCAGACAGCTCCTCTGGGCACTGCATCAAGGGCCTCCTTTTGGAAGGCTGGCATGTGGCTCTGCTATGCCCTGGAACCTGGCATCCTTGGCCAGTGGAGTCAAAAGTTGGTCAGAGGGGAGTGGGGCCAGTGGCTCCTTAAAGGTGTCCAAGGTTGACTTCTTCTAAACGGGTAACTTCAGACCAAGTCCCACTCCCCTCTAGTGACCACTTGTGGAAACTTTCGCTTGCGCTGCTCTGCCACAGCTCAGGGGACCCCCGCCTCAGTAGAGGCATGGTCCAGAACACAGCCCCGTCAGGTAAGCTGTCTGATGACGAGGGAGTGAGGCAGGCACAGGGCTCAGGTGACCAGCCACCAGGATACTGGCCGGCAGGTGATTCTTGCGGCTTTGAAAGGCCCACGGTGACCTGGAGAACAGCAGGGCTGTGTCACCGATGGTGGCCATGGAGCACCCCCCCTAGGTGGATGTTTCAGTGGAGGAAGGTGGGGTACCAATGTCTAAATGGCTCCTCACGGCCCTTCAGTGGCTGAGTGAGGCTTGGGAGCTAAGGTCACACTCGGGGGGCACCAGGCAGGCTAGGGGGTAGGTTGCAGAGTGCCAAAGGCCAGTAGCAGTGTGGCTGCCGCGTGGGGACTGCAGGACTGTGGGGCTTCACCCCAAGGACATCCTGACGACTACCCCACCTCTGGGCCCAGAACAGGCCCCATTCAGACCAGCTCTGACTAGGGAGCCTGGGGAGATACCCGGCCAGTCCACTGGCCTCAGCAAACCCTGACTTAGGACCAAGGGGGTGAAAGCCACCAACACCCAGCAAACCTCTGCCTGGGTTTGTCACGAGGGACGAGATGCAATTCAAGAGTTTGCTCTGAGAGGCAGAAACAGGCCGGGGGACGAGGGTCCCAGTTGCGAAGCCTCCAGCGCACTAAGGAAGCATGGGTGTTCGTGGGAGGAGTGGGAGGCCCTGGTCTTCCCAGTGACCGCTGGCGGCCGAGGCCAGCAGGGCCTGAGAGCATTGGCGGGCAGGACGGTTGACCACAGTGCTCCCCCTGGCCACCATGTCCTCACGGGTGACCCTGAAGCCAGCGTCACTCTGAGTTGGAGCTGCCTGGGGACAGAAACCACTCACAAAGGAAGGCTGTGGTGACTCCACACCAGCCCTGGACTTTCACTATTTGCAGAATGAACCCATCCTGCTGCTACCGACGCTTTCAAACATTTTATTTTTTTTTAAAGGATAGCAATAACTTATGCCATGAACCAAACAAGAGTACTGACAAGCATTTTCTGGCCCAGTCCACCATTGCACAGCCCTGCCCCCCCAAGCTCTACCACCACTGGGGGTGGCCTTGCCTAAGGCAGGATGTGGTCAGCGGGGCTGAGGCCAGGACCCTGGGCAGGAGGAGGCCCCAGAACAGCCCAGCAGCCACTGCAAGTGGCCAAGGAATTGAGATTTCTTCCAAGTCACTATCAAAGGGAAATGACAAACCAACCACAGGAACCCTCGAAAACACTGAGCTGGCCTCGGGCGTGGCCACCTCCACCCCGTGTGCACAAGTGAAACTCCATGGCTCATTCTGGCCCCAGCATTTGCTCCCTCTCTCCTTCCCTCCCCAGCTTGATCCCACACAGTTTGTTTTTGACTTTTTTTTAAAAAATATAATTTTGTAAATGCTCCATAAAAATACTATTGTTCCTAGTCAAACACAGATATTGCAATATGAAGAGAAACTGCTTTGACTTTGCTCTATAAAATGTGAAAAGGTTATCACACTGGATAATATAGAAAAATGCCAGAATTTCTAGGTATCACAAAGCCAGTACCAGGTGCACAGGGGAAGTGCTGCCAGACGCCGGCGGCCGGCCGGGTGTCGCTGGGGCTCCCCCTCCGCATGGGGAGGACACCATGGCTTTGAGAGAGGCAGATAGCTGACTGCTCTCAGTCCCAACAGGCCGGCCCTGAGAGGGCTGCCTGCTTGGCCTGAAGCACCGAAGAAACCAGCCACACTTGACCAGGAGCACAGGCAACCATCCTCTGATGGAGAGGGGACAGTGGTCTCTCCCGGCCTGGCAATCCGAGTACCGCCTCTCCTCTGAAATGATGGAGGCCCACCTGGCCCGCAAGGCGCATTCAAGTGCAGGCACTGGGCCACAGAGAGCAAGCATGGCCCTGTCCCCCGAGGCAGGAGGTTCGGTCCTGGTGGCTGGGCTGTGCCTTTAGTTCTCGGAGAGAGACAGGGCCAGGGCAGCCTGGAAGGCGGCTTCCTCATCGATGCTGTAGTCCTGGAAGACAGGAAGTGGAGATGGGCTGGGGGACTCAAGGGCCCAGACATGAGGGCCCAGCTGTGCTAGCGACTTCTCAGGACAGTCACCAGAACAGACCAGCAGTACCACCTCCACTCTCCCCACCTCCCTGCAGCATGACTCAGGCCAAGAATGAGGCCCCTGCAGTCATGGGGTCACTGCTGCCATGTGGAGAAAGCTCTGTTGGAGGTTAAAGTGCTGCCACATGTGGGATCGCTGTCTGGCATCTCCCAAGTTCTCCACATTGAGGGCCCCTGCAGCTGTCCAGCGGACACCTTGTCCAACAGACCCCTTGCCCAGCGGGCCTGTGGGAGGGGCAGACACTTGGAGAAAGAGCTGTCCTTTTGCCTCAGATGTGAAAACGAGGGTTGTGAGGAGCAGAGAAGC